TCCATAGTTGATTGTTTGCTTAGTTGCACTAACAGGAACTCTCTTTTCATGCTGAGCTAATCAAAATGACCACAGCTGATCGCAATTGAAAATCAAATGGCTTTATGTGCCATTGAGAAAGTGATTAGGTACACCTGATTGAGTTTAAAAGTCAATTTTAGGAGGGGGTGATCCTTTTTCCAACTCAATTATTCTGTTTTTGATCTGTTTTATATTTCTTTCTGACATGTTGGTGTTATAACTTTCACTTGGATGTTATAAGTTGCACAGTAAATACAGCTGGCTAAAATAAAAGCTGTGTCTCTGTTCATTTCAGGCTGCAAAGCAACAAAAATGTGATTTTGGGGGGGAGGGGGTAATTATTTTCTATACCCACATCTATATATATATGGTGTATTCAGAAAGTATCCAGACCCCCTTAATTTGTTTCATTTTTGTTATGTTGCAACCTGATACTACAGTTGTTTAAATTACTTTTTTTGTCAATCTATATTCTGTAGAGAAAGGTACCAAGAAAGTGCCACCAATTCCCCCCCCCCCCCGCTTTACTTTTTGCAGGTGGCCCCCACAGTGGTAAAATGCCACATCATTGAAAGCAGAAGACGCTTGAGGAACATCTGTTCCCAGATCTCCGCTGTGACTAATGAACTTGGAGGTGACAAATTTTATGTTACTTCCGGGTTATGAGCTGTCATTACTGGGCTACTGGCTGTGGCCGGGGAAGCAGGGAATCTGTGCTTGATTAGCTGCAAGGGAAACACTGGAGTCTAATACACACTTGATGTTTCCATAAAGAGGACCTGTCACCTGCCCAAGTTATAACATGGGGGCTTATAAGCCTCTTTGTGACTGCAATAAAGTTCAATGGGAAAAAAGTGTTAAACAATAAAAAAAAAATACAAATAAAAAAATAAAAACACCCCTTTGACAAAATGTCAAAGAACAGGGGAAAACATGAGAAAGCTGAAGTAAAAAAATGAGGGAATACTAATATCACAGTTAGCACCTATAAAATGTTAAGTGGGAGGTGTGGGTTACAGCAATTAAACACAAGAAAACATGTGAAGTTCTGGAAAAGCAAGAACTCGCACTATAAAAATAAATATTTTTCTGCTGCAAAACAAAAGCTGGAAAACACCCTATCATTATACAATGTTAAGCCAGTGCAGAAAAGATTAATTTACTTTGTGTTGCTTTATTGCTAATGTATATATAACTTCAGGATTGCAAATCACTGTTCACGTAGTGGAAAACTGTAAGAGAGAATACACAAAGAATACACAAAGAGAATTATAGAAAGAAAAACATCATACTCGAGTGTCAAACACATGACCAAAGCCTAGGCTTTTAGGTCACATGGTCTATTCCTAATTAAGGAGGATCAGTTAACCTGAGTTCTAATCCTCCCCTTCAATAGAGAGCAACTGACCAAATGTGTAACCTTGTGGTCATATGGCCAGGATTGGAGAGAGTCTGGAGAAGCATTTTCTCCTAGAAGTATTTCAGCCATTTAGGCTACCTACACATGGGGCTAAAGACAGTTTATTTCTGTTTTACCGGATGTCCTCGAGCTCAGTATAGCCAACCATAAACAAGAATGGGTAAAGGCAGTGTGACGGAGGAAAGGCAGGACAGAACATACAGAGTGGATGGCAGACGCACAAAGCTTTATTGAAACAAACAGACGGCAGTCCTTCAATACGGGGGGGGGGGGGGGGGCAGAGAGGGTGGATTTGCCACTAAATGGTAACGAGGGGGCCCCACCCACTTATAGTCCACTAGGAGAGCCAAGGGGGTGTCCCTGTAACAAGGGTAGTCCGACACAGGAGGGGGTGCGTGGGGTCACCACCGACACAGTTCAGGTAACACAGTGGGGAAGCAGGCACTCACGGATCCAACAGGGTGCCTGGTCTCCCAGGGGTAGAGGCAGAACGCAGGTACCTTTGGAGTCCGGACCAGGCGGGTGGCCTCTGGCTCTGGCAGGCAGGCTGTGGTAGTCTCTCCCCCTTCTGTGGGGTCTCTGGCAAAAAGCAGGCAGGCTGGGCTAGTCTGTCCCCCTTCTGTGGGGCCTCTCGCAATCGCACGCAGGTTTTCTCTGGTTGTCTCTCCCCTCCTGTGGGGTCTCTGTGAGGCTGGGGAGTAGACTTGCAGAGTTTAGTCACAAAGGTCTCGCCGGAGCTTGAGATCCTTTGAGGACTGCACACTGGAATGAAAACGGAGCTCCCAGCATCAGCCTCTTAAACTGCTGCAGGATGCTCCCTGGTCGCCTTGGCAACCGGGAGGGAGGGAAGGGAATACTAGACCTCAGGGAGAATCAGGCTGGTGACAGGGACATCCTGGGGGGCAGAGATGATGTCTGCATAGATGAAAAGCAAGTTGGGAGGTGTGCAGAGAGCTCCCAGCCAGCTGGCCGGGAGGGAGGGGGGCCCAGAGTAATTTGATTAGGCCATTGAATTAGGCCATTTGGCCTAGTGACACAGGGGACAATTGGAACAATACGGAGCAGGACGCTGAGGGCATGTGATACAAGGCATTAATAAGGGGATTAATAATTGGCAGTCTCCCATACCGTGACAGGCAGCTATTTGAGTAAAGTCGCAAAATGATGTAATGCACCTTTCACTGCATGCTGGGTCATTCTGAACAGGCAAAACTCTTGACACTTCCTGATAGTGTCAGTGCTTGTTCATCTCCTCCCACCAATTCACATTCCTATTAGCCTATCCTTATGATGGGCTGCCTCCCTGTTCAGTAAACATGTGTGGGAGGGGGCCATGCAAACCATAAGGAAGTGTTGTAGCTTTGCTGAGTAAGAGTGGCTCAGCATTTACAGGAAGCTTTATGCTTACTACTAGTGGTATCTGTTTTTTTGTATTCTTTTAAACTTTACCAATACAGATAAAACACATCATAATAGACTAATATGGTGTTTTTTTCCTTGTCCAGGTAAACAAACCAAACTTGAAGAAGATAAAGTTTGTAGCCACTAACTAACAAACACTGTGAAGGATTATAAAGAGTTCAATAATCTATACAGGAACAGAGGAATATATAATGAGAGTCAAATTTAAAAAAACAGTCTTATTACAAGCCAGGGTATTATAAGTGTTTTCTTTTTTTTTTTTGTTATACAATCCCAATTCCAAAAAAGTTGATTTACTGTGTAAAATCTACATAAAACAGAATGCTATGATTTGCAAATCTCACAAATCTGTATTTTATTCATAATAGAAAACCTATCACATGATTAAACTGAAAAAATACAGTATTTTAGGGGAAAAAAATAAGGAAATGTTTAACCACTTAACCATTTCAATACCGTGCAATTTTACACCTTCCTGCCCAGGCCATTTTTCACGTTTCAGCGCTCTCACACTGAATGACAATTGCGCGGTCATACAACATTGTACCCAAACTAAAATTTTATCATTTTCTTCACACAACTAGAGCTTTCTTTTGCTGGTATTTAATCACCGCTGGGGTTTTTATTTTTTGCTAAATTAACAAAAAAAGACCAAAAATGTTGAAAAAAACCCACGTTTTTCTTTGTTTCTGTTATAAAGGTTTACAAATAAATAATTGTTCTTCATAAATTTAGGCCGAGATGTATTCTGATACATGTCTTTGGTGAAAATAACCCAAATTAGGATGTATTATTTAGTCTGTAGGAAAGTTATAGAGTTCACAAACTATGGTATAGATCTGATTATTGATCAATCCTGAAGTACTGACAGCCAATCTAATTTCTTGAGGTCCAAGAATGTCAGAATAGTACAGATATCCCCCAAATGACCCCTTTTTGCAGAGTAGACAGTCCAACGTACTTCATAAGAGGCATGGCGAGTTTTTTGAAGTCGTATTTTTTTTGTCATAATTTTTCGGAAAATGAAAAAATTAAAAAAAATTATTTTCACTATTTTTTTTTTACATACTGTCACCAGTGCAGTACAGCATCATCATATAACTGGCATGGCGGTGAACAGGGACACTGACTGGTGACAGTATGAAAAAAAAATATATATATATTTTTTTTTTTTTATTATTTTTAATTTTTTATTACTTTTTTTAATTTTTTTTTAAGATTTTTTTTTTCATATTTTACTATGACCAAAGTAGTACAATGTTACCATAGTAACATTGTACTACTTTGGGGAAGTGATCAGTATTTTTTTTTTTTTTTTTTTTACACAATTTGCTTATAGCAAAGAATTACTTTGCTATAAGCAAGCATTTACCTGAATGAAATGGATTCATTCAGCTTTTTTTTTTTTTTTGTGCTTAGCTGTGATTTGGTCACAGCTAATCACATGACATGTGCATGTGATTAGCTGTGACCATTCACAGCTAGGCACTAGTATACAATGGATGGCATCATGAATGAAGCCATCCATTGTATACAACTGTCATGTGACCTGCTGTGATTGGTCACAGCAGGTCACATGGTACCTGCAACGGGGGCCGGTACTCAGATCTGTCATCGGCCGTGTCCGAGGTACACGGCCGGTGACAGATCGCTCTGCATTAGCGCAAACTGCGCATGTGCGGGAGCACGCCAAATGGCGTGCACCCGGAGTGCAGAAGCACTTTTGAAGCCGCCAAACGGCCATTGGCCGGGCGGCTAATGGTTAAATACTAGCCACTTATACCCCCTTCCTGCCCAGGCCAAGTTTCAGCTTTCAGTGCTGTCACACTTTGAATGACAATTGAGCAGTCATGCAACATTGTACTCATATGAAATTTTTATCATTTTTTTGAGACAGATAGAGCTTTCTTTTGGTGGTATATAATCACCTCTGAGCTTTTTATTTTTTGTTAAACAAACCAAAAACAACTGAAATTTTTGAAAAAAAAAAGTTTTTTCTTAGTTTTTGTTATAAAATTTTGTAAATAAGTGATTTTTCTCCTTCACTGATGTGCGCTAATGAGGCTGCAGTGATGGGCACTGATAGGTGGCACTGATGAGGAGGCACTGGTAGGTGGCACTAATGGGCATTGACAGGCATCACTGATGGGCACTGAAAGGCGGTACTGATAGGCAACACTGACTGGCACTGATAGGTGGCACTGACTGGCACTGATAGGTGACACTGAAAGGAAGATCAGATGGGCACTGATATGTGGCACTGATGTGCACTGGTAGGTACTGATATGTGGCATTGATGTGGCACTGATGGGCACTGGCAGGTGGCATTGATGAGCACTGACAGCTGGCATTGATGCTCACTGACAGGTAGCACTGCTGGGGCTACACTGATCATCAGGGCACACTGATCATCAGTGACCTGATGATCAGTGTACATGTCCCCTCTGAGGGATGCCGATTACCGACTCTCCTCTCGAGCTGTCAGTGTGACAGCTCGTGAGGAGAAAAATGCCGATAACTGGAATTTCCTTATTTACATGCGATCAGCTGTGATTGGACACAGCTGATCACATGACCAAGCCGACATCTTTGGCTCTTTCTGTTGATCAGTGATCCGCTGTGTCTGAGGGACACAGCGCACTGTCGATCGCCGTGCTGCTCACCCCCGGAGCCGCGCATGTGCAGTTAGAATGGGAGGACATCATATGACGTCCTCCCAGAACGAGAGAACCACATTGCGCCCAGCATTACCTTATATGGCAGGCAGGAGGTGGTTCAATAAGTATCATTTTTTTCAAACAAATAGAGAATTCTTTTGGTGGTATTTGCTAAATAGAAAAAAAAAAAAAGACCACAAAGTTTGAAACAAATGCATTTTTCTTCATTTCTGTTATAAAACTTTTGGAAATAAATAATTTTTCTTCATACATTTAGGCTAAAATGCAGTCTGCTATATAAAAATAACCCAATTCAGTGTTTATTATTTCGTATGTAGAAAGGTTATAGAATTTACAAACTATGGTATGTACCTGAAAATTGGTCAATCCTAATGTACTGACGTATCTCATTTCTTATGGCCCCAAAATGCCAGGACAGTACAAACACCCCCCAAATGACCCCTTTTTGGAAAGTAGACAGTAAAAAGTATTTATTAGGAGGCATGGCGAGTTTTTTAAAGCTGTAACTTTGTCGTAATTTTTTTGAAAATTAAGAAATTTAAAAAATATATTTTGCAATTTTTTTCACATACTGTCACCAGTGCAGTACAGTATCATCATATAACTGGTGTGGTGGTGGTCATTTTCTTTTTCTTTTAACAATTTTTTTTAACACACAGTGACCAGAGCATTACAATATTACCATAGCAACATTGATCAGGATTTGTTTTCTTTACACATTACGATAGCTTATACTGGTGAATCTCACTGGTATAAGCAACCATTTTTACTGAATGAAATTGATTCATTCAGTGTATATTGTTGTAATTAGCTGTGATTGGCCACAGCTAATCACAGATGGACTGTGCTTGGCCCTCTCTGTACCATGTGACCAATCACAGCTAGCAACACAGTTGTACACAATGAATGGCATGAACTGAAGCCATTCATTGTTTACAATTGTCATGTGATCTGCTGTGACTGGTCACAGCGACCACATAGCACTGGCAGTGGCCCAGTACAGTGATCTGTCCGGTGGACAAAGGTGATGACAGATCGCAACACAGCACGGCCTGTTTCAAAGAGAACGTCATATGAGGTCCACCAGGAAAGACGAAAGTCCCACCCAGCCTATTGTCCAATGAGTGTTTAAATTAATAAAAAAAAGTTAGGAGCTGGCCATGTTTACCACGGTGTATCCCCCTCTTCTTTTAGCAATACTCTGTAAATGTCTGGGAACTGAGGAAACCAGTTGCTGGACTTTTGGGAGAGGAATGTTGTATCATTCCTGCCTGATATAGGATTCTAACTGTTCAGCAGTTCTTCTTTGTCATTCTTTTTAATTTAAAGATGTACCAAATATTTTCAATTGGTGAAAGGTCTGGACTGCAGGCAGGTAAGTTAAGCACCCAGATTCTTCTACTACAAAGTAATGCTGTTGTCATAGATTTTGCAATGTGCTGCTAAAATATGCAAGGTCTTCCCTGAAAAAGGTGCTGTGTGGATGGGAGCATATGCTACTCTAAAACCTGGATATGTCTTTCAGCATTGATGGTGCCTTTCTAGATGTGCAAGCTGCCCATTCCATTTGCACTAATGCACTCCCATACCACTAGAGATGCCGGCTTTTAAACTGAGCACTGATAACAAGCCTGAAGGCCCCTCTCCTCTTTATTCTGGAGGATGCAGTGCCCATGGTTCCCAAAAAGAATGTCAAATTTTGATTCATCTGAAACAGTTTTTTACTTTTCAACAGACCATTTTAAATGAGTTGTGGCCCAGGGACGATGGTGACATTTCTGGATCATGTTCAGATATGGGTTCTTCTTTGTATGATAGAGCTTTACCTTGTATGTTGGATGCCATGGTGAACAGTGTCAACAGAAAGTGATTTTTGGAAATATTCCTGAGCCCATGCAGTGATATCCATCACAGAATCATTAAGGTTTTTGAGGGCCCAAAGATCACGGACATCCAATATTGCATTTCAGCCTTGGTGCACAGAGATTTGCCCAGATTCTCAAAATCTGTTGATGATATTCTGTACTATAGATGATGATATATTTAAAGTCTTTTCAATTAACATTGAGGAACATTATTCTGAAATTGTTCAACAAATTTTTAAAAGCAGCTGTTCACAGATTGGGGAACCTCTGCCCATCTCTACTTCTGAAACACTCTTTTTATGCCCAATCATGTTATTGACCTGTTGCCAATTAACCTAATTAGTTGCAAAATGTTCTGTCTTGTTAGTACTACTTTGCCAGCTTTCTGTTGCCCTGTCCCAACTCTTTGAGACATGTTGCTGCCATCAATTTCAAAATTACCTTTTTTTTTTTTCGTAAAATGGTACATTTTCCTAGTTTAAATATTTGATGTTTCTATTCTCCATTGTAAATAAAATATGAGTTTTCATTGCATTCTGTTTTTATGTAGATTTTACACAGCGTACCAACTTTTTTTGGAATTGGAGTTGTACAAATAGCATATGTATTTGAACCTGGCTTGTCAGCAGCCATCACAATAACACATTCAATCAGCTAACAGACTATCATTTGATAGCTAAACTCCAGGCATGTGGAAAACTAAAATTAAATGTAGTCATGCCTTATTTAAAATTTACTTAAATATATCTTTATATCATTATATGCTGCTAGTTTAAGTACAGATGTTTCTTCATATTAGCCTCCTGTAATTACAGCATTAATCAGAATAGGGAGGAAGGGGCAATGCTCAGCCAGCCATTCAGGGTTCTATTGCTCTTCATGGCATTATAAGTGTAGTAAACTAAACATAACAGGAAAGCACAGAGGTATCTTTAGCGTTCTAACTGAAAAATTTTAAAAAGACAAATAAAATGTATGGATTTTGAGAAGTATGCACGATGATGGCCTTGTCTTGATTTCTTGGTGGAGAAAGAAGTGTCTTTTTTATCCCGGAGACCCTGATGCAAACCAAAAGCGGAAGGGAATTAGGAGAAATCTTGAAATGGAGAAAATACCCCTTTGAATACCCAAGGGAAAGGTGTATTGAGACCTATAGAGTGTATAGGTCACTCCTTAAAGGTGAGCAGGTGGTGTGATTGGTTGAGGATTGCACATCACAAATGGAAGTGGAGTATATGTTGGACTTTATTTTGAAAAAATAAAGTCCAACATATACTCCACTTCCATTTGAGCTTGCAAAATATATGCTGGAATGGATTGGAGGTTCATGAAGTATTATGTGTACATATATATTGCACAGTGTATGCGTAAATAAGATTTTTTAAGTGTACATCTTACTAAAAGGTTTCCACAATCATTCACTATTGTTTACTTATTGAACAAAAACTATTACCATAGAGGGGGCTTGCGCTGCATTTTTTTGTTTTTCATTTATCTTGGGTGTGGGAACACATATCAATGTTAGCTGCAACCCAGTAGTGATTTTTAATTTTGCAGGAATAATTCTGAGCTTAAGAGGGTTACACACATATTGATTGGCAGCGGGTGGTTATTGTATTTATTTTAACAACTTCAGTGTTCTGCTTCTACTCCTTGTTCCAATAACAGGATGGTGCAGCCCTGGAACAAGCTTTATTGTTATAAGCTGAACTTGCTCCTATGGTACAGACTGATGTGGCTACTGAACAACCTGAAGTGAGCAGAGCTAGATTGTGTTCCACACCCCTTCTAAATATTCCAGCACATAGATATGTGCTTCTGTGCACCATGGGGACCCTCAGATCCTAGCATAAATCTCCAATACCAAAGTCTAAATTAAAATCTGTGAGACACACTGTCAATGCAAAGTGCACACCTCTCCTAAAATGAAGAGGAGCTTGATCTGTGGAGTGGGATCTAGATTGTGTATTTCTGGTCTCAACTTAAGTTAGGGATTTACATAAATCCCTAGGTTCCAATGTCCTTAGGCAAAGGCAAGATTGTTTTTATCTATAATGTCTAGATACGATCAAGGAACTCGAAATGCATGCAAAAAAAAAAAAATGGTGTTATGGTTCTGATGGAAAGCATCCTTACATATTCAGTCTTAAACCTAATCATTGGCACTGTCCTTAAATATACAAATGAATGCTAGTGAATTTATATCAGCAATGCAAAAGTAGGTTTAGTTTAGGATATACTGCAGAGAGCAGAAACAGCATAATAGGTAAAATACCCTGAAGCCATAAAGAAACAATTACTTTCTATCTCACCTAACTGTGGAAACTCCAAAAATGCAATCAATGGAAGAACCAAATCCTAACATGCACCTATATTGTTAAGATGGAAATCTGATTATTTAACATAGTATTAAACACTATTAGCTCGTCATAGAAACATTAGCGTAATAGTAGACGTAAACACCATAGCTCATTGGGATTCCACAATTCTGAAACAAGGCTTCATAATATTTTGCGAGACTGACCCACTTTATGTGTCATAAGCCACTGCTAGATATGATAAATAGCCCCAAAAGTAACTATGTCTGCATATGTTTAGTCACTAACCCAAATGACAGAGCTACCTATGAGTATACCTTTCCAGCAAACACACACATGGCAATCCATCAAACTATGGAATAGCTAAGGGTGTTTTTAACACCCTTAATATTAAATAGGCCATAGTTCACTAACCAATAGAAGTTTGAAGAGAGAAAGAAGAGAGTTTGAGAACAAAAACAAATACAGTGGGTGTATCTAATATACTTTTTTTTTTCTGCAGTTCAATACTTTATGAATCACTGACCTACAGAAATTATGTAGATCTGGCAGATTTCTACTTTGTCAATCTGCATACGTGTTCTGGGTCACAGCTATCAGCACAGGTTTCCTTTCAAAGGATGATTGAGAGTCTCATTACTAAGGGTAACAAAGGCAGTTCTTTATATTGGTAAATTAAACTCCAACTTCAGCCAAAATGTGTTATTACGTTTTTGGAGATAGAGACTCGGGCAGGTTTTTATTGCTTTTCTCCAATCTTTATATTAGAAA